TATACTATATGGATATATCCATTTCACGATTCTTTCATTTCTATAATTGGTTTAGTTACTAAGTTAAGTTGCGAAGTCTTATTATCCCTGTCGTTGTTTATGTCTGGGATTGGAACAAATTACTATAAGTCGTCCCCTTCTCCGTATTAATCGACATCTGTCACAAATTTTACGAACAGAAGCTCTTATTTTCATATTCAGACTCCTTACATTTCTTTTAAATTTACTTTAGAGTTTCGGTTTGATTGGAAGATTATAATAAAAACATTCATTTTTTTTTTTATTTTCAATTTCTAATTTTGTTATTTTTGCCAAAGAGATAGCTAAGTTTAAAAATGACTCCTTTGAATCATTGTTGTGTTGCAAAAGCTTCATCGACTTGTTCTGAAGTTATCCGTCTAAACTAAAAATGAATTTAGCCTATTTTCACAAAAAGAACTTATAATCCAATCTTTATTACTTTATTAGTTGATTATCTAAATCAATAAAAAAGAAAACCAGAACATACTATTTGAAAAGGATTCCTTAATAAAAAAATTCTTGAAAAAAGGAAAGTGATTTTTGTTCTTTCATCCGAAGGACTTTATTCTTTATTTCAGTGACCTAGAAGCAATAAGGAATGGGGATTTCATTAGATTCTAAAATATCCCATTTGGGAATCATAGAAATGGAAAGTTTCTACCTAATTGGCATCTTGAAAATATTACCATATATAAAACAAAATCTCCCCCCCGATTCTTTGCAGTCGGGCTTCTCGGTCTGTCATTATACCACGTGAAGTAGAAAGAATTACAACCCCCATCCCGCCTAAAATTTTAGGTATTTTTTTAGACTTAGAATACATTCGTAGACCGGGTCGACTTATCCGTTTTAAATTTAGAATATTGCTAAAGGTCCTTTTTTTAGTGTTTATATGTTGCAGAGTTAAAACTAAAAAATTTTTGTTGTTTTCTCGATGATTTCTCACACTTTCAATAAAACCTTCTTTTAAAAGGAGTTTTACAATCTTTTCGTTAATATTACTGGATGGGATTCGAACTGTTCTTTTTCCATCCCTATGAGTATTCCGTATAGAAGTTATTATCTCAGCAATAGTGTCCCTACCCATGATGAACTCTAATTATGGAGCTAAAAATTTTTCTACTCTCAACGTGTTTTTTTTATTGTCTATGGATTATTGTGTTTATCTTACTTTATTTTAATCTTAAAGTTATATACGTGAGACAGATTCTACTCCATTTTTTAATTTTTTTTATAATACCTCAGGAGCTAATGAAACGATTTTAGTAAAATTTAATTGTCTTAACTCCCGGGGGATTGGACCAAAAATTCTGGTCCCTTTTGGATTTCCTTCTTTATCAATAACAACTGCGGCATTATCATCATATCGTATTATTATCCCGTTGCCACGTTTTAGTTCTTTAGAGGTACGCACGATTACGGCTCTAACTACTTCAGATCTTTGTAGAGGCATGTTAGGTACAGCTTCTTTGATAACAGCAACAATAATGTCACCAATATAAGCATATCGACGATTGCTAGCTCCTATTATTCGAATACACATCAATTTTCGAGCCCCGCTGTTATCCGCTACATTTAAAAGGGTTTGGGATTGAATCATAGCATTTTTTTTATTCTTTTCTTTCACAATGCAAAGGGCGAAGAAAAAAAGAAATATTTTTTGTCCACAAACATAAAACGAAACCTCTTTTTTTTTTGTTTTTGTTTCATTCTTAAGATTCTTTGGGTTGGTTCTAGAGTTATATCGTCTATTCTATCTCCGAAATAATGAATTGAGTTTGTATCGGCATTTTTGATGCTGCTATTGAAATAGCTTTTCTGGCAATATTTTTTGTTACTCCACCCATTTCAAAAAGTATCCGACCGGGTTTAACAACAGCAACCCAATATTCAGGGGATCCTTTTCCTGAACCCATACGTGTTTCTGCGGGTCGTACAGTAACTGGTTTATCGGGAAATATACGTACCCATATTTTTCCTCCACGACGTGCATTTCGTGTCATAGCCCGTCGCCCAGCTTCTATTTGTCTAGATGTGATCCAAGCGGGTTCAAGTGCTTGAAGCGCATATTTACCGAAACAAATATGATTCCCTCGAGAAGCTATTCCCTTCATTCTTCCTCTATGTTGTTTACGGAATCTGGTTCTTTTGGGGTTATAGTTGATGGATTTTTATTTATTCCATCTCTACTACAGAACCGGATGTGAGAGTTTCTTCTCATCCAGCTCCTCGCGAATTACGAATAAAGTATTTACAAAATGAGCGTTTGACTCAAATTGACTAATCATAGTGAAGATATCTAAATCTAAAGATAGATAATAAAAGTCTGGACTGAGAAGTCAAAATAATATTTAGGGATTGAGTGATCTTTTTTTAAATCTATTTGAATTGAAATGAATTATTCTACAGTTTTTTCATGATTCTCTGAGTCTAACTAATCCTTCATTTTTGACTATTCTTTATATTGCTTTAGATTGAATATTGATTCTTTTGAAAAAAGTTTTCGCGGGCGAATATTGACTCTGTCAATTTAGATTTCATTTCTAGGACGAGTTTGTGACATCTTATAGCTAGTATCTAGAAATAAAATAATTTAACATTGGTTTATTCCGCCATCCCAGCCAGTGAATGTTTAAGATTTTTTTTTATTTCATCTTGAATTGAATTGAATCTTTTGTATTCTCATAAGTTCCGTCGTCCCCATCACTTCTTACTTAATGGTTAGGTCCTAATTTTACAATGGAGCTCAAATAGTAATAATATATGAATAATTTAAGTCTTTAGCCATTTTTCTTAGTCTTTATTGGCTTTAAGCTCTTGACTTTATTTTTTTATTTTATCTCTTCTATATTTAATATCTAATTGAATATTTATATATAGATTATAGATTTCTATAATAAGAGTATATTGTTTTTTATTATTGAATATTCTTAGATTTCTTATTCTATTTTAAATACTTTAATATGCAGAATTTAAGTATTAATGCTTCATTACATTGCCTGTTTTGTTAGACCCTACATATTGGAATTTTCAATCATTGAGCTTCTTTTTCTCCCTTTCTCTCTCCCTTCCAATTATCCACATCTTTTTTATATTTTGCTTCGCAACTTCAATAATATTTGAATACTATTTTTCGTTTATGCAAATAAATGGCAGTTGCTACAACGATATGAGCGGTAATCATATCGTGACTGGTTATTTAGATCCAGATAATGCGAAATTGATGAGTTAATTATTAGGTAATTTCTTCTCGAGTTAGTAGTTGTTACTTTGGGTTTGGTTTCATGCTAACCTTAAAAAATAAACGAGTCGCACACTAAGCATAGCAATGATATTTTTATTAAAAATAAATAAAATTTTTATTCAACCTTATAGAATTCATTATTATCAATTAGAACTGTTCCTGCTCATTACACAAAATAATTTGTGAAATGGCCGCTCGGTATTACAGGTAAAAAGAATGAATAAAATTTTATTGAGCTTGATCAAAAAATATCCAAATTTTTATGCCTAAAACCCCGTAGATAGTTCGAACTGAATAACAACAATAATCAATTTTAGCTTGAATAGTTTGGCGGGGAATTCTTCCTTCTCTTATCCATTCCACACGTGCAATTTCCTTTCCGTCAAGGCGTCCCGCAATTTGTACTTGAATTCCTTTTGTATCTGCTTGTTCAGCTAATTCAATAGCTTTTTTCATTGCTTTTCGAAAGGAAACTCTATTCTTTAATTGTCCAGCTATAAATTCGGCAAGAATATTAGGATTTCCATACGGTTTTTCAATTTTTGTGATAGCAATATTAAGTTTTCGGTTTACGAAATTTAATTTTTTTTGTAGAGCTTTTTGTAATTCTTCAACTCCCTGCGGGCTATTTTCAATGAATACTTTGGGAAATCCAATATAGATTATGACTTGGATTAGATCGAGTCTTTTTTTAATACATATACCTGCAATTCCCTCGGTACCCGAGGGTTTGATTCTATTTTTTTGTACATAATTTTTTATAAAAGCTCTTATCTTTTGATCTTCTTGCAGATTTTCAGCATACGTTTTTGGTTGCGAAAACCAAAGTGAATAATGGGCCTGGTTTGTACCAAGTCTGAAACCAAGTGGATTTATTTTTTGTCCCATAAATACCTCCTTTTCTGGATATCAGAATATGCTTTAGTTCTAGAATTTTTTTTCGCTTGTGGTTTTTTTAGCAAACCGAGCTCCACGGATTCAGAATCATTGAATGAAATATCTTTTAGTACAATAGTGATATGGCAGGTCGGTCTTTTTATTGGATAACTACGCCCGCGAGCCCGAGGTTTTAATTTCTTTCCAGCAGTCCCCTCATTAACTTCAGCTTGACTAATAACTAAATTTGCTTTATTTGAAGCCATAGTGTAACTAGCATTTGATGCGGCTGAATAAACCAATTTTAAAATTTGATAACTGGCACGATAGGGCATGAGTTCTAATATAATAAGTGTTTCCTCATAGGAACGCCCACGAATTTGGTCAATAACTCTTCGTGCTTTATTAGCCGACATAGCTATACGTCGACCTAAAACGTATACTTCTGGGGTTTTTTTATTTAGCATCTGGTACATAAAATTTGCCTCCTACTAATGACTTATAAGCATCAAAATATTTTTTAGTATTCACATTACCGATGAGATTTCTTATCATTTTTTGCATGTCCTCGAAAATTTAAAGTAGTTGCAAATTCTCCCAATTTGTGTCCGACCATATCATCCATTATATAAATAGGGAGATGCTCTTTCCCATTATGAATGGCAATAGTATGACCAATCATTATTGGAATAATAGTAGATCCCCGGGACCAAGTTATTATTATTTCTTTTTCTCCCTTTGTGTTAAGTTTCTCAATTTTTTTTAATAATTTATGAGCTACAAAGGGATTTTTTTTTAGTGAACGTGCCACAGTTTACTCCTATAAATTTTATTATTCTTTTATTTTTTTATTTTTCATATAATTGAATGAATAAATTTAATTTGTTCTATTATATTAATTTTTATACTATATATATTACATTAAGTATATTCACTCTATTAACTATATTATACTATTATATTAACTGCGGTGACGAAGAATGAGCTTCTCACTATATTTATTCCTCTTTCTAGTTTTTCTTCCAAGTGCGGGATAACCCCAAGGGGTTGTAGGTTTTTTTCTCCCAATAGGAGCTCTACCCTCACCGCCCCCGTGTGGATGGTCTACGGGGTTCATAACTACTCCTCTGACTACAGGACGCTTACCTAGCCATCGTTTAGCTCCAGCTCTACCCAAATTTTTTTGGTTGAACCCAACATTCCCGACTTGTCCTATTGTTGCGGAGCTGTTTTGGGATATAAAACGGACCTCGCCAGAAGGTAATTTTAATGTAGCTGATTTACCCTCTTTTGCAATCAGTTTCGCCATTGCACCCGCTGCTCGAGCTAATTGTCCACCCCTTCCACGTGTAATTTCTAGGTTATGTATAGTCGTGCCTAAGGGGATTTCGGTCAAAGGTAGGGCATTTCCAATTTTGATTGAAACATTTGTACCAGAAACAATGGTATCTCCAATTTGAGCCCCTCTCGGATGTAAAATATACTTCTTCTCACCAGTCTTATAATGTATTAGACAAATGTTTGCATTTCTATTAGGGTCATATTCTATGGTTATGATTCTACCATATAGGTCTTTTTCATTCCGTCGAAAGTCTATTTTACGGTATAGGCGCTTATGACCCCCCCCCCTATGCCTTGCTGTAATGATTCCTCTAGCATTACGACCTTTACCACAATGATGCTTTCCAGAGAGCAAATTTTTTCTTCGAGCAAATTTTGGGCTGTTTACGGTTTCGCTCGGGTTATAAGTTTTGTATAATTGTATTCCCATGATATAAATGATTTTTATTTTGGATTTAAAGTTTATTTGTTTGGAGGTGTAAGCCAATGTCTAATGATCTGCGGTAGCCATTGCATTATATGTCCTCTAATAGGGAGGGCCTACCATTATGTGACCCTTTGCCAGAAGCGTAGCACTACTCAAAGTTTATGACGTGGATTTCAAAAAAAGTCTATTTATTATTTTTTAATAACTAAATTCTTTTTTTTAATATTATATCTTTTATTCCATCCCGAATTTTAATTCATTCCGTATTATTTTAAGTTGAAATAAAAATGTTAATTTTGAGTGTTGATAGAATCTATCTATATCTCTAATATAGAGATAGATTCTCTATATGTATCGGTATCCTAGAATTATCTATTATGATATATGAAATGGAAATAGTCAACATGAAATCTATCTAGGAACATATATCTTCTATGATATTTGATATGGACAAATCTATCTAGGAGCATATATCTTATATGATATTTAATATGGATTATGAAGGAAATGCTCAAAGTAGATCTATGCTAATATATATCCTAAAATATAACAAAAATATCATAAAAAGAAGAATTGGAGGGTCAATGAGATTTTGTGTAAATAACTAATAGTGCTAATAGTGTGCATCCAGTAGGAATTGAACCTACGACTTCGCCAATTATGAGTTGGGCGCTTTAACCACTTAGCTATGGATGCTTAAACGAGACCATCATCTATAAAAATTGAAAATTAAAATATAATAATTATGGTAATTATGAATCTTGGAATTGCAAATAAAAAAAAATGATATTTTATTTTATATGATAGGATATGATAGGAATAGAGAATCTAATATTCAATATCGAATTACAGCAAAAAATATTACATAAAAAAATGTCGTTTAAATAAAGAATTTCGGAAATCTGAAATACTAAACAAAGACTCTATTTATCATTTCTATTTTTACATTAAATAGTCAATAGTCAATTATATAAAACAAGTACTTAAAATTTTTGCATAAAATCTTATGGAGGTATGAGATGGAACCTAAGCAAAACAAGTTCTGGATTCTAGAATTACGAGAGATACTGAGAGAGATTAAAAAATCAAAATATTTTTTAGATTCATGGACCCAATTGAATTCAATCGGATCTTCCATTCATATTTTAGTCTCCCAAGAACGGTTTTTAAAACTGTTTGACCCACAAATTTGGAGTCTTGTACTTTCACCTAATTTGCAGGGTTCAAAAAGCAATCGATCGGTCAAGATTAAGGGAGTTTTACTAGTTTTCGTTGGCGTTGTTATCTTTATTTATCGTATTAGCAATCAAAATATGGTTGAAAGAAAAAATCTCTATTTAAAAAGACTTTTTCCTATACCGATGAATTGCAGTGAATCCATAACTGATCAAGATAGTGGTTATTCTACTCTAAATCGATTGAGTATTTTACTCCTTTCTTTTCCAAAAGGCAAAAATCAAATTGATATTGATTTACTGAATACGAACTATAATACTCGGGTTTTGCCAATAAAAAAAAAACCTAACATGCCTCAATCAAAGTCAGATTCGACGCAGGGGAAAAACTTTATTAGAGAAATTATTAGACGAACTAGAACGGAATTTAGAGAAATTCCAATGAAACTTCTTGGTTTAAATCTGGTATTATTAAAAGATAAAAAATCGCTGGAGTTTCCTTATGATTCCACAAGATCTAGTTCCTTACAAGTAAAAGATTCCGGCCAACCGAAAGGATCCTTGGATAGAAATTTTTTGGATTCCATTAGAAATGAGGATTCCGAATATTCCAAATTAATGAATAAAAGAAAATTTAAACAACGAAAACAAAGATCAACTTCTTGGGATCCTTACTTTCTTAAAACCGAACAAAAAGAGATCAAAGGCCGTAAACCCACGCTAAGCCTTCCGTTTCCGAAAGAAAGGGAACAATCTCGGGGCAATGCCCCGAGGTCCCTTTATTCATTTTACTCTGATAGATGGTCAGAACTTTATATGGGATCAACTCCTATTGCTAAGTCCAATATGGATCCGAAATTTAGGAATAAATCTCTTTCTTTTGTCCGGCAAGCGGAAAAGAAAGAAATAGTTAATCTATTTAGAATACTTACGTATTTAAAAAGGACTGTTTTAATTAAGTCTATTTCTTTGGATCCCGAAATAGAAAATTCGAAGAATACTGGATTTCTTAAAAAAACTCCATTATTTTCTTTTGTTAACCGATTCCTTGAAAGTAAACAAGGAAGCTATGTGCTACAACATAATTGGAAATCAGAAAAAAAATTACAAAAAAGTCCAGGTTTATTTATTCTGACAATAAGCGAGCCGGATCCAGTCTATAATCAGGGATTTACTTTTTTTGTTAATATAGATTCATATGAATTGCATAAAATCAAATTATTGAATAAAATATTCAATACTAGGACTGAATCAAAAAATCAATCTTTGTTGGCTCTTTCGCCTATTTTTTTTCGTTATAAGGAGAATAACTCTTTTTTTCAGCGAACGGGCCAAAACTGCGTATGGATTGAAGCAGTGAATCTATATAGATATAGATTCATTCACAATATGATTCAAATGCAATCTAGTACCTATGTGTACATAAGAAATCTATTAAATAAATTTGTTTTCATAAATATATCCAATCACAATTTCAAATATCGAATTAGGAGAATTCAAGGGGATCAAAAAGAAACGGGTCTTCTCAATCATCTAACTCATATGACATATAAAATAAAACAGGGTCATCCATATAGATCCAAATGGTCAAATGGGGCAAAGAGTTTACAAGAAAATTCAAAACATTTTCTTTATGAGCAGAAAAGACTTTTTGAAATGTATGTTCAAGTCCGAAAGGGCCATTTGCAAATGATGTTTGAGAAAGTTTATAAATTATGTATTTATGTTATTGATAAAATAACTGAGAAATGGATTTATTGGTCTAAGGTTCGCAGGGAAGTAGAAATCAAAGTAAAAAAAAATGTGTATAAGTTAGTTCCTTTAGTTTTTACCAAGTTGTCCAAATCAGTACGTTTCTTCTTTTTTCCCCAGTCACTTCGTTTTTTTTTTACGAAGGGATTTCACTGTATGATCAAGTTGCTTTTCTTTTTGTCTAATTCACTTGGTTTTTCCTGTGTAAGTTTTGGTACTAGTCCTGTTCAGAGGTCCGAAATCTATATCTATCAATTACAAGGACCGAACGGTCAACTTTGTAATCAGTTGTTGGAATCAATAGGGTTTAAAATGATTTATTTAAAAAAATTAAACCCCTTTTTGTTGGAAGAGTCTGGTACGTCGAACTTTGTTATCAATGAAACAAAAAGATCACCCTTTTTGTTTCATAATATAGCAAAAGAGAGGATTGATGCATTGCTTACTAGACCAAAATATTTTGATGAAAAGGCTAATGGGTTTCATCCCATGAACCTATTTGAAAGAAGTTCACTTATATCCGCTTTTTATAAAGCAAATAGACTTCGCTTCTTTAATATTCGCCCTAACTCTAACTTTTGGTTAGATTGTAAGAGAAGATTTCCATTTTCTGTGGAAAGGACTCGGAATACTAATTCGTATTTTCTCTATGAGCAATTTCTAAATAGCTTGTTCCTTGGGAATCAAAAAGTTTCTTTAGGTGGTGGGAAAAAAAGACAGGTTTTTGGGGATAGAGCTACTATTTCACTAATTGATTCCTTATTTAAGGATTTTGCCAAAAATGGTGACCCACGGTATAACTTTGAGAATTTTTTTAATTCTGTAAGGGAATCCGATCCAGTCATGCCTAATTTGATTCTAAATACTTTTGGAACATCTTCTACAGAGGAAGAAATAGTCAATTTGGAAACAACTTATTGTCAACCGTTTTCAGATCTAAATAGAAATCTATATGATTCAGAAGAAAATCACTTTCAAGAATATCCTAATTTTAATTTAAATATGGATATGGATTTGGTTGACATTCCCTGTTCTTATAAATATTTTTCATTTCAAAACAAAAAAAATCGAAAAAAAGGCGCTGTGTTTCAGAAAAGACGGATGGCAACAACTTTTCATAGAGAGAATTTTTTTTCCATTTTATCAGAAAAATTAAATCTTTTCCAAATGAATTTGCCAAACTTCTTTACTTTGACAGGGTACAAATATCTCTATTCTCTATTGATAGATATAGTTTCAATATTAAATAGTAGGATATCTATTTATTGGGAGATTTTGTATTTATTATGGCAAATTTTTAAGATGAAATTGTTGCCCTTTTTTATAACAAGTGAAATCTCAAGTAAGTGGTTACATAACCGTCTTCTAGCTAATGAAAGGTTGCAACGAAATACTAAAACATCAACACATTTTAGATCACCAAGTGGTTGGGCTTTTTTCGTTTCAACGCTTTTCCTTCTTATTGGTGTTGGTTATCTTGTTATTATAAATCTTGTCTTTGTTTCTCGATCTTTGAGGGAGTTAGATATCAAGTTTAAAAGATTAAAACCTTTTCTAATTCCCTCATATCTAATTGAGTTTCAAAAACTTGTAGATAAATATCCTATGTGTGAATCAAATGGGTTTTGGTTAAATAATATATTTATATTTGGCTTTAACCAATTCGTACGTTTGTT